GGGAAAGAGCAACCAAAGGACTTACATGCAGGCATATAGGCCTAACCAATGGACATGGACAACGGGGGGGGGAGGGCAAGAGCAGGGGGGGGGTAGAGGGTAACATGGGGACAAGGACACATATGTAATTTCTTAATCAATAAAAAATATATTAAAAAAATTAGAGAAGATGGAGCAAAGTAGAGAACAAAAAGAATATAAAAAGTATAAGAAAGACTTGGTACTTTAAAAAGACTAATAAACTTGACAAACCTCTGGCTAGATTCAAAAGGGAAAAGATGCCAATAAAATCTATCCAAATATATATATAAAAAGAGGTAATATGCAAATTAGCCAGGACGCTATAACAGTCACGATCAGCTCAGGAGGAGGCTGTGCGCATAAATGGGCGGTAGGCGACTGCGTGCATGTTGAGGCAAGTCATGGCTGGAGCAGGCCCAGAGTGGAGACACACAGGGGGGCCCGCCAGCCACGGCACATGAGCTGCAGAGGAAACACCTTTTCTGTCCACTCACTGGCTAAGCTCCCTGTACGCTACTCACAGTGTTCTTGGTAACTTGGGTAATAAGAATCCAAGAAGGTGACCTAGGGTTTTTCCACCTCACTCCTGGAGGAAAAAATGAAGATCTATTGCCGGAGGGCTAAGAAATGTCATATCCTGCCCTAGCCGATTTGGCTCAGTGGATAGAGCCTCGGCCTGTGGACTGCAGGTTCCGGGTTCGATTCTGATCAAGGGCATGTACCTAGGTTGCAGGCTCCTCCCTGGCCTGGGCCCAGGTCAGGGCTCATTCAGGAGGCAACCAATTGAAGTGTTCCTCTCACATTGATGTTTCTGTCTTTCCCTCTCTCTTCCACACTCTCTAAAAATCAATGGAAAAATATCCTCAGGTGAGGATAGAAAGAAAGAAAAAAGAAAGGAAGAAAGAAAGAAAGACAGAAAGAAAGAAAGAAAGAAAGAAAGAAAGAAAGGAAGAAAGAAAGAAAATATCCTATGAAAGAGACATCTTAAAAATGCCTAAAGAAAGTTGTCATTTTTTCGTGGTGAAGAGACTGGAGTCCGTGTTGATGAAAACACCTTGGCGGCTGTGGCAGCTGGCAGTGGCTGCAGCAGCAGCAGGGTGATGGGGTGGTGCCTTCCTCTGATCAGCCAAGTTGCCTCCTGAAGAGGGAGACCCGACTGTGACTTAGGCACCCTCCCTGAGGGGAGCGGGCCTAAGCTGTCAGTAGGACATCTCCTGAGGGCTCCCAGACTGTGAGAGGGGGCGGGCTGGGCTGAGGGACACCCCCAGTGCATGAATTTAGTGCACTGGGCCTCTAGTCAGAAATAAAAGAGGAGCTAAACAAAGGACTATGCAGAGTACTACGACAGCCTTTATGCCAACAAATTCAATACCCTAAAAGAAATTGTTAAGTTCCTAGAAATATATAACATCCCTAGAGTTAATCACAAAAAACTGGAAAATGTGGATTAGCTAAAGGAAACTAAAACAACCATTGAAAATCTCCCCAAAAGTAAACGTTTAGGATCAATGGCTTAACTAGTAAATTCTATCAAACATTCAAAGAGGATTTTAAATTTATCCTTTTCAAACTCTTTAAAAAAATTGAAAAGGCAAGACTTCCTAACACATTTCATTGAGGCCAAAATAATTCTGATACCAAAATCTGGCAAGGATAACACTAAAGAAGAAAACTACAGACCAATATCACTGATGAATATAGATGCAAAGATCCTAAGCTATTAAATACTAGCAAATCAAATAAAACAATATATTAAAGAATAATATATCATGATCAAGTGGGTTTCATTTCAGGGGCACAAAAATGGCTCAACATACTCAAATCAATCAATGTAATACAGTACGTTAACAAAATACAGTCAAACCTCTGTACTCAAATATATTCCACCTCCAACAATTTGGTTCTCGACCTGACAACCCTGTCATGCTGATAGGGTATGATCAGTCACACAACTCTCAGGAGACAAACAAAGGAGAGATTGCAAAAATATGAGTCTGTTTACCACATTGTTAACATCTCAGGAAATTGTGCTGTGAATATTTTCACTTTTTTTTGCTTCTTTTGCTGCTTATTATTATTAACTACATACAGGAAGTCACCATGGATCCCAAGAAGGTTAGTTACAGCAGCAAAGTGAAAAGAAAGGTTGTGAGAACAATAGAGCTTTAAAAATAAATAACTGTGATAGAGGTGTTCATGTGTCTGATCTGGCTACCGAGCATGGCATAGTGAAATTGACGATTAGCACAATTTTAAAACATAAAGAGGCCATCAACAGTGCTGATGCTGGACAGGGTGTGAAGTGCTCACAAAACAATGATCATAGGCAATAAGAGGTAGAAAAATGGTTGTTGATTTAGATCAGGCGTCCTCAAACTACGGCCCGTGGGCCACATGCGGCCGCCGAAAACATTCATCCGGCCCACCGGGTGTTTTTGCCGCCGCTGCCTGTCCTGCTTAGCAGCCGACTCGTCCGGGGCCCGCAGTGGGCATGTGTGGAATGTCTGAGGGATAGTGAACTGGCCCCGTTTAAAAAGTTTGAGGACCTCTGAATTCTAGATAAACGAAAAGCCGTCATCCAGGGATCGCAGTTTCAGAGGCAGTGATCTGGGAAAAGGGGAAGACACTGCACACTGACCTCCTGAGAGACCCTGGCCTGAGGGTGAGGTGGCGCGTTCAAGCCGAGGGGCGGTTGGATACATTAAGGGAGGTGGCCTCATGGTGTGGGAGCCACGGGGAGGCCGCTGGTATCCGCGAAGGAGCTGTGAGGATTCCGTGACCGAATGTCAAGAACACGTCGAGGCCGAGGGTCTGCTCCCCACAGCGTTCAGTTGTGATGAGACAGGCTCTCCTGGGGGACAGGCCCAAGAGGACCCTGTCCCTGGAGGAGAAGGCCTTGCCGGGCCACAAGGCAGGGAAGGGCGGGCTGGCGGTATTTCTGTGTGGAATGTGGGTGGGGACTTTAAACGGAAGCCTCTACTCTGCCACTCTGAAAACCCATGAGTTTAAAAATAATAATAATGTCATGAAAACAAGGGAATGTGACGTGGAGGGCTAACAGCAAAGCTTGGGGAACCAGCAATTTTCAATTGAGTGCATTCATGAAGTGTTTCCCCAAGTGTGAAGAAATACCTCCGGGAAACGCAACTGCCACTCAGGGCACTTCTTGTCCTGGGCAAGGCTCCTGCCCGCCCTCCAGGCTTGGAGCGGAGCTGCTGGAGGAGCACAGCCTCACCCCTGCCGGGTCCTCACCACCCACAGCCTCACCCCTGCCGGGTCCTCACCACCAATAGCCTCACCCCTGCTGGGTCCTCACCACCCACAGCCTCACCCCTGCTGGGTCCTCACCACCTAACAACTCCACCCAGCCATGCGCCGGCAAGTCATTTCTAACTTTAAGGAGCTCTACACCACGGCCCTGTTCCAGAGGTGCTTTGAGGTGGCCTCTGACACAGACTTAACCCTCAGGGGTTCTGGAGGGAACATTTTAATATCCTCACTCCCACAGCCCCGCCCCTGCCGGGTCCTCACCACCCACAGCCTCACCCCTGCTGGGTCCTCACCACCTAACAACTCCACCCAGCCATGTGCCGGCAGGTCATTTCTAACTTTAAGGAGCTCTACACCACGGCCCTGTTCCAGAGGTGCTTTGAGGTGGCCTCTGACACAGACTTAACCCTCAGGGGCCGAGGAGGGAACATTTTAATATCCTCACTCGCTCGAGGCTCACGGACAGCATGGGGGAGTGTGTTCCGGGACCCGCAACCAGCTTGGGAGACACTGTGGCCCGTCTGCTGCTGACAGAGCCTGTGAGGGCTGAGAGAGGAGCCTGTGTCTCTGGGCAAGTCCATGGCTTGGAGGGGGATGGTGATGGGGAGGAGTTGGTGAGGATGCAGCACCGAGCTGACCTCCCAGGAGCTCCGGGACCTTCAGAGGAGCAGCAATGGCAGCAATGGCAGCAGCTGTGGAGTCTCTTCAGGGAGGAGGGAAGGGAGGGTGTTCCTACTCCACTCATCAGGGAAATTCTGGGGAATGGGGAGAAACAGTTTTATTGAGAGAAATCACCCTGATGAAGAAGTAGGAAACCCTGCAATAAGCTAGTTCAATGACAGCTGCAGTGTTTCACTGCAGGCAAGTGTTAAAAGCAGGCCAAAACAGTGAGGCCCAGTGAGACTGAAGCCAGTTCTAGTGGAGCAAAGAGAAAGAATCCCAGAAGAACAGACATCTGATGTTTTCATGGGAGGGGACTCCCCTTCCAAACAATGACATCCCTCCACCCCTTATCCCTCAGCTCCTCCACCCCCCAATCCTCCATCACTCCACCCCTCCATCTCTC